AGAGCCATAATTACAATGACCAACTATTTGCTTCGGTTAAGTAGACCTTTAATTTACACGACTTGGTGTAGACCGCGACGGCATGTCTATGCCCACCTTCTAAACGAAAGGTGTGCGTCCTCTTGCTTCTACCGTGCCTGAATAGCCATTTTTCACGAAAGGCATAGCGAGTCTCCTCATGTTTATCTTGCGATATCCTGCAGTTATTTTCGTGCCGTCCTCGTCTAGCTTCGCTTAATGTGTTACTACGTCATCATGGTCGAAATAAAGATCCGGTGTAGTCTTCATAACCTTTCGGAAATGAGTTTACTGTTATGCCCTTTTGGCTCCCTTTGCTTTGTCACTATAGCATCCAACGAATGCTTCTGGTTGTCCTTTGCTATGAAAGTTGCTCAACCAACTTGTCTCTTTCTATTAAATGTGCATAGACAATCGGTTTGGGTCATATTTCCTCTCTGATGAGTGTCTTCAGCTGAATTTTAAATGTGTGGCAAATGCACCAGCCTGTAGACTCGAACCTTTTTTAATACTCAGATAAGAATTCCCAATTTCACTCCCTATTTACATATATTTTGCACGCACATTTTATGCCGTGTGTGTTTGCCGTCAAGTTTGGCCACAGCTTTACCTTCCCTGTCACTGTCATGTTAAACCCGTTTTCCGATAGCCTGTTGTGAATGTCGACAGCACAGTGAAGGACTCTCGACTGACGATCGTTGTCCTCCTGGAGAGGAGGGTGCGATCGCAAGACTAACTTGGCCCCTGACGTTTCGGATTCTCACTCGAAGTCCCATCATCAGGGACAGTCGCAGAAAACGGTAATTAGGGAGACACAACGCGCGTAGTACTTATAAGTCGTAGCACGGCCATTTTACGTCTGCTTTGTGTCTGGCTTTCACCAGAAGGCTTACGCGGCAGGGCCTGACTGGCCATTGAACGCACTGAACCCATTTATGCTTCCAGTGGGCGCAACCTTTGTTACCTTTTATTACTGACATATCAGGTGGGACGTTTTCATAAAATACACTGAGATGCATTTCTCTCTGCCCTGCCCTTTTTTCAGCCCATCCAGTGCGACGCTCGACCCCTCCTGGGCAACGCCTTGTTGGCCTCCTGTGAACCCTCTGCTAAGACATCTTTCACCGCTCCGACGCCGCAAAGTTTGACAGAGAACAGCGAGGCAAAGGAGGAACTATCCTGTCCCAACATTCAAATGGTGGAACCGAGCAAGTCGCTGCTCGTGAATAAGATTGAAAAACTGCAGCGAATGAATCTACGTCTGTCGGAGAAGAATGAGTTTATGCGTGATCATATCAACCAACTAACCAGTGAGATCCAGCGAAAGACTCAGCTTCTCCAGGTGACCGCTCTGGCTCAGTCTGTTTGTTTTGTGATTTTGTGTGATTGCTGATGCGACCGTATTTTGCGCAAACGACAATGCGACCGTAGTGTTCTCATTTGGCATCTGATGCGTAGGGCCCTTGTGCGCCCTTTTGACGGATCGAGAAGCGCTGTAGTGAGTCCCTCGAGCGAAGGCCTACGGACCGAACTTCGTACGATATTTCATGCATAGACGAGACAAGCGACCGGGTTGCACCGGACCCGTAAGTCAAGAACGTCTCAGAAGCCACCGACTGCCTTCTGACGCCACTTGAATTCGAAGTTTTGTGTGGATCAGAGGCAACTGTCAGGCACCAGGTGTTGAGATCGAAATACCGCGGTAGAAAATGTCTGAGGTCGTTCGCCGGATGTGGTGCAGTTTTGGGTAGAGTAGGTATGTCGGGGAAGCATACAGTATCCAAGAGGTGGATGGTACAACGCCCATCAACCAAAAGGAGAAATGACGTCAGCTCTCAAGTGGCGACTTATTCGTTAGAGCTTAGCCGCCTTCAAGTTTGACGAGGTCGTAATCTGCGGGAGAGGTTGTAACCGCGCGAAGAGTAAAAGCTTTCCTTTATTCCATGCCGAGGAGAGGCCACTTATTTTTTCCAAATCTGATTGATGAGCAATACGTCTTGTTAAATGTTACTGCTTCGAAATATGAGGTACCTCTGCTTCTGAAAAATCATGTACTACGAACTTTTCGAGGTGTTGGCTTGAATACATTTGTGATGTAATATCTACGCTTTCCTTCACCCCGCTTACAAACCTTGACAGTTTCTGCGGAAATATTGCAGTGTTTTAAGAACTATCTGCCATTCCTGTGTAACCAAACACAAACACCCAGCAGGCACACTCATTCCCCACAAAATAAAAAAGCAAAAAGCGTCTAAACGTGAATGTCGTTTTCCAAAGCAATATCTCGCCTGATCTTTTGAACACGCCAACTATATCCTGCTTTCGGGGAGTGATATTTGAGAGGAGATAATATTATGAAGCTAGATTGTCGGGAATGTTTCTATAAATTCCCATTGGAAAAGAAACAATGATGAAAGTCTAATCTAGGGTCCACTACAGCTTATTTAAATAACCGAATATTTGCGCGTGATAATTAAAGTGGCCCAGTAATGTCCAATTGGACACAATCGTCGACTCCATATCAACTCTGTATCATTTCAATATAATCTATATAGATTTAACATGGATATAGCGTTTAAGCCACAGCCGTCGACTATGTCAACTCTATATCATCTCTATGTAATCTCTATGTCATCTCTATATAAAGGTGATATTGAGTCGACGACTGCGTCCATTTGGGCATTCTTCTTTCCTGTTGGTCGTATTTCTCATTTTAATCATCGCGCGCAAATATTTGGTAATTTAAATAATTATTCCTATTATTTTCTTCTTTTATGCATTCTACTAATTTATTTCTACTTTCTCCCAATATGGTCCATCCATTTAACCCTTATTACCACCTGTTCCACATTGCAGATGAGTGGGGTTTTCGTGTGCTGTTGTGGACTCTAAGTTAAACTTTTACCAGAGCGATTTTCGTTACATAATAACGTCCGCGGGAACCGACGCGCTCCGCAACCCTTGTCCGGTGGTGCGGGCGA